TACTGCTATCCTACAGAGTACAGAGTAATCTATTAGTCCTTAGTTTATTTACGAATCTTCCTCTTAGAACAGGTAAAGGGAATGGGAGGTAGCGACATGAGGTGCCATGACAGAAAAAGGACTCAAGCAGTGTAAGTGTAAGAGCTAAGTAATGAGAAGCACAGCCATGGCCCTGAACTATAGATGGCGGGAAGAAGCAGGACTGTGAAGGAAAGGGAGCAGATGAGAAATCACAACTAGATAAAGAACAGGTTGAGTTGTACAGTGCTGCAATGTTTTACAGTTTGGTTTTCTATTTTTGTTTCAGCATAGGGTTTCTCTATAGCCCTGGCTGTCCTGGAACTCGCTCGTAGATCAAGCTGCCCTGAACTTAAGAGATCCAACTCTCGGACTCCCAAGTCCTGGCTATAGTTTGTTTTTAGTGTAAGTTATTTCTTGGCTGGGCTTTCCATTTACAAAGAAACAAAACTTGTTTAGAAATTCACCATATATAAAAATAACTTAGTTGAGAAAAATTTATAGAACAAAAGAAAAACAATAAAATTAACAAACAGTACAATAAATCTGAGGTCTTAAAAGTCTGTATTTCCTTGCCTTGACTGATGATTTTGATGCTTAGCCTGGACTAGTATAACTCTTAACTTTAACTGTTCTGTTTGTTCATTAGTTTCCATGGCTGAAACAACGTGAAAATCAAATTGCCCCGCCCCTCTCCCCAGTGCCTTAAAGCTGCCTTTTGAATTTGTGCGAGGCAGGAGTGTTTCCTTTGATCAAAACTGATGGTGTGTGACTGTCAGACTAAGTCTCTATCACCACCTCTCGCACAGCACCCAGGGACTGAAGAGACCCTTACTCTACTGCGTTCCATAGGCCGGTGCTGAGGCACACCGGTGGGACAATGAGAACCTCACCGCCACTGCCTTTGTCTCTGCACCTTCAGTCTGGCACTTTGCCTGGGCACTGAATCAACCAGACAGGAACAAACAAAAGCTCAGTTTAAGGTACTCAGGGTCTTACACACGGCTTCCCATGGCAAGGCTGTTTTTCATTAGGCATTCAAGGAAACCAAGAGCAAAGTCCATCAAGACATCTACAGAAGTGAAGCAGGCTTTTGTTGTTAAAAGATTTGGAACACAAACCGTAGGATGAGATTTATTTCATCTTCCTTGGTCCATTCGGTACCCCCACTCTGTTTCCAGTTCAGGTAGTTGAGCCACTTAGAACGACACTGCTTTTCTGAGCGGGTACCCACTCTTTCAGCTACAGCCGCCCAAGACACGCCCTGTGTGACGATGTCACCTGGCTCCGTGCTTGTTAATTCATGAACCACCTCCGCAAGTCTCTTTTCTTCTTCTTCTGTCCATTTCCCTGTAAAGGAAATCATCCCGATTACAGTGTTATCTTCTCAACCATCACTGAGTCTAGCCCTCTATGTCCAAGTTCAAAGGATGAAGGAGGAGCTCGGCTGATCGGTTTACTTTGTAACAGCACTCAGTTGGAAACCACATATACCCACTAGAACTATATTTTACTGGCTTTTAAAGGACAGAAATATTACCTAAAACAACGAAGAATTATATATCCTCAAGTTACATCAAGTAGTTTATATATATCGAAATAATAAAGTGGGAAGAACTTCGCTGATGGCCCCACTGGCAGGACGATGATTCTCAGCACTCGACAGCAGCACTGGAATAAACTTCCGAAGCCGTCTTATAAGAGGGAAGGATAACGAATACGCACAGTACCATCTGTGCGCTCATCTACTCCAGAGAAAATGAGGTTCATGACGTCATTGGCACAGCCCACCTCCCTGCCACTGTGAGGATGCATTAGTCAATCACGACACCAATTTCATGGGCATCTTCATCCCGTCTTTTCCCAAACTCTGAGCTTATTAACAACTAATGTTTTTCTTGTCTTTTTATGTAATGAAGCTTGAGCAGAAAAACAGAAAGGAACTTTAAAAAAGAAGCTAAGGTGTAGGCCGGAGGGAAGCTGGCAGGTCCACCTCTCACGCTGCTCTCAGAATGGTACTCTTCCCCCAAACTGTGCTAACAAATGAGTTTGTTTCTGTGGAGCTTCAAATAAAAGCTGCTGCTTCATTCCTTAAGCTAGCCACACCAAAGAATGAATGCCAGTCGGTGAAATTCATGGTCTTGCTGTCTTACTGGTAGCAATGACATCAGGAAGTAGGACATATTCTTGATTTCACTTTAATTTTAAAGTAAGGGGTAAAGAAAAAGATGGTTTAGAATCTTAAGCTAAACTTGAGAACTTTTTTTTTTTTTTTTAAATTAAAGACCTGAACATGGATCCTTTAGAAACATTAAGACCAAAGGAGATTTGGAGTGTCTGCTCTAACCTGTTTTACAGAGGAATTAAGGCTCGTGGAGAAAATGGCAGAGTTTCTACAAACCATTGTTTATCACAAACTAGCTTGATACTTATCATCAATACATCTGTATATATTAAGAACTATAATGTAGTCTGGCCAAGATACCGAAATACTAATAATCATAAATTTATGAAAAATAAAATTCAAGTTGGAGATCCACAGAAATATTCCCACCTCTGACACACACACAGGTCCTTCCTGCTTCGGAATTCCCTGAGCCTGAAGCTGTCACAAACAGAGGCTGATTTTAAGTTCAGTTAGATAGGCTTACATCAAAGTGACTTCTGGATGTCTTAAACTACAAAGCTTTCCCCAGCAGAGCAGTTCTGAACTGAGACAAAACTGCAGCATACTAAACTTAAATTGTCAGAGAACCAAGTGCCGCTATGTCCTTGGTAACAGTGTTCAGTGATACTGGATTTAAAAGCACAAAACCAAGTTGGCTTCATCTATCAAACGGGAAGAAAAAAATGAAAGAAGATCAGGAAATGACTGTTCAAAGGAAGGCGACCGGCATACAGCCCCTGTAGGGGCAGACGGTCCCCGCAGCGCAGCACAGCACAGCACAGCGCAGCACAGCGCAGCGCAGCACAGCACAGCACAGCACGCGCAGTACCTGTGTTGCAGGTGTCCTTCATCAGCCGGCAGCGGTCTTTGACAGAAGAGGCACTTCTTCCTAGGGCCGCCCCTATGGTTGCCCAGTCATTGCCGTGCTTTATCCGGAGCCTAGAACAAGAGTCTGCCAATCAGCAATTGGTTCAACTGTTTTCTCCCTCTTAATTTCATCATTTATTCTTCATTCTTCTTCTTCCCTTTTGAGTGGTTTGGAAGTTGTGGGCAGCAATACTTTTGAGAGCCAAAGTTTGAAAGAGTGGCCTTTTATTGGGGTCCACAGTTGTCTGTGGGTGAAAAAAAACAGGCAGCAATTGCCCTTTTCCTGGGTCAGAGAAGAAATAGATAACTTGGATATGTGTTTTAAAAAGGATCAAATTTCCCTCAGATTATTGACACTTCCCTGGCAAGTCCCAGAGCTTTCCTTTGGAGCATATTCCTAACAAGCTCTTCTAAAATTCCAACACAACTTCTAACGAGGATCTACGTTCAGTCTTCAGACACACACAGCTGAAGCAACATTCATGCCCTTATCAGATGGAGTCAGCTCAGACATTCAAGTCAACACTCAACAGGTCAGCTTTATATCAAGTCTTAGATCCTGGTAATAAATTCCCTAAATTAAGTGTCCAGGCCACTGAAAACATTCATTTAATTCCTTTTGGAATCCCTACTAGTGACCTCAGCAAGCACCTAGTGACTGACAACAGGAGACTAACTTGTCTATCATGGGCATAGCTAATATATAACTTCTAACAGAAATTCATTCTTTTAACTGCCAAATAAAATTATACCAGTCTGACAAAAATGTTCAAAATTTCAGATTTAAAAGTTAAAAATAAGACAAAAAGCCAAATAATTATAATCAATGAGAACTTACTCCTTGAGCTTCTCAATTTCTTCAGGAGTGTATCTAGAAATTCAGAACAGTGGGAAAAAAAATCAATTAAATACACACTGCTAAAAACATTCCCAACACTAAACAAAACAGCGTATCAGTAATATATTTGTGAAGTGTTTTAAAGTGAGTTCTTAAAAGTTAAAATAAATGCTTCTAAATTCTTAGAAGAAAAAAATAGTAATTACTTTTAGCTATAGTACACATATAAACTGTATCATTTTCTTTATGGAAATCCAACATTAAAAAATCTACCTGCCTCATGTTACTTAGATATTCCTTTATTTCAAAGTTAGGTCTAGGGATTCTGAAATTACAACTGTTCCAAATAGACTTACAGATAACAAAGTACAAAATAAAGAGAAAAAAAATATCTTATTTTTCCTCTAGCCAGGCATAGATACTCTAACAATCTTTTTCTTTATTTCCACAGCCAATGCAATGTTCTGTTTTAAATGTTTAAAAACTATATTTATCTGAAAATTCTATAAGGCTGTTCACTTTTTAAGCAGTTGTACTGAATGGAAAGTTTCTGAAAGTTAGCCAAGTCATTCCTGACCAAAAAAATTTTTTTGTCCACCTTCCTAACACCTTAAGCTGATTCCCTTCAGGTTTCCAGCGTATCCCACGGGTAGCCTGCTGACAGGCTAGGGAAGCTAGCACTGGGGGCTCACTAGTGTGCGTCAGGCCACACTGACGCCACCGAAAACCACAGCGACAAAGCATCAGCAATGTCACAAATCATTCAACTACTCCGACACCTTTCCATAAATGCTACTGCTAGCAGAAATCCATCCATCATTGCTAAGCTATTTTCTACTCTGGTTTTATTTAAAAATAAATGAAGTCATTAACCTGGCATACTACATTCCCAAATCAAATAGGAAACAAATACTATCCACGAATCTCGAGTTCTTTTAACACTCCCTACATCGTTAGACACCCCAATTTTTAATTTCTACAAAGTAAACTCTGACACAGTAAATTCAATCAAGTTAATCTACGTAAGGTAGTTCAGATTTCTAATTTCTAGTAAAGCCCTATTATGAGGTTTCTCCACATACTAACACTTGTAGGATAAAATTATCAATAAGGATTCATGGCTGCCTCCACAAAAAATGGCAGCTCCCCATCTCTTTCCCCGCTACATGGAAGGACGCAGCACCACAGGCGTTCGTACTTTCCCACGTGGTTCCTGTCGTCATACATGCGCAGCACTCTTCTGTAAACTGCAAACAAAGGCCGGTTCAGCCCCCACGCTATCGTCCTGTAGAAGTCTTTTCTTTCGTCTTTTGACATCTCAAAGATGATTTCTGTGGCATCTTTTATTCCGCGGGCCTAAATGGGTTACATTTCTTTGATTTAGGGATTGCTGATACAATGAATGTGGATATACTATGCTTTGATTTCATAGTGACCCTCAGAGAAAAAACAATTGCTAGTCAGTCTGAACTTTAAATAAACTTTAAATGTTGCAGTAGTTATTCAAGTATTACTGAAGGGCACCAAAAATAAACTATCCAATTCAAACAACTCAATTTCAGTTTAAATTTTAAACTGTTTAAATTTCATTTTAAATTTATAAAAAAAAATAAAAATAAACTTGAAACAAGTACAAGGAAATCAAAAGAGCAAAATAATCACCAGCAGTCAAAGAAAATGAAAGGTAAATTTCAAATGGTTCTTTGAAAGGATGAATTAAAAATAAATTTTGAAATGATACATTTCTGGCAAAAATGAAAGGCACACAAACTAGGATGAAAGAAATGTGGCCTAAATAGAGACACTACAGAGACTGAACAACAAATGACCATTATGAACAATTTTATCAGTCTGAATTTACATAAAGTGATCAAACTTCTAAAAACACTGAACTTACCAAAATAGATTCTGAAAAAGATAGAAAAATCAAAGACACATAAACAGAAAATTTAAAAACAAAAAACAAAAAACTGTTACTATTAATCTCACCATAATGAAAGTTCCAGATCCAGGTGATATTATGAATAAACACCACCAAACATTTAGGAGAAAATAATGAGATAATTTCTGATTTTATTAGGCTAACATACCCTCAATAACAAAACCCCACGAGGAACATCTCAGAAAATAATCTGGGGCAAGGTTACAGTTTACTCATCAGGACAGCCCTGGAGCCCCCTAGTCTAGGACAGAACCGAGAGCTGAGCAGGAAGTGAGGGCACGGACTGTGGCCATCCCGGTGAAGAGGTGTGCGTTTTCAGATCATTGAATCAGCACATTTTCAGAAAACATGTCAAATTTCAAAATAGGTAGAAAATACTCTAAATGATAAAACTCACACTGAATTAGGGTAAGCTGCAGATCTGATAAAAGAACATTTCAGAAATATATACTTGAAGAGAATTATTTATAGGGAATGCTATATATATATAGCCAAAAAGGTTTTGAGAAAAACAAACGAACAAGCACTGTGTCAAGTTGCTGAATACCAAGTCAATCAATAGACACACTTGCATTTCTAGCCTTCTATGGACAATACAGAACCTAAAAAATATAATTCTTTTACAAAGAGAGCCAGTGTAATTCCAATAAAAATTCTCTCAGGATTTCATTCTCTAAAAACTAACGTTTTAAGAAAAGAGGGCTAAAAATAGCCAAGAAGTTCACAAAGGGGCTTGCCCTGTCAGGTATTAGACCGTTCAAGCTTGTGTTAACCTGGTACAGGTTAAGGTAATAACAAGAAGATAAAACCAGAAAGAACTTGGGAGAAGGACTTTCATCCCAAACAAAATGCTGGGGCAACTGCCATCCACATATAAAAAGAACTGAAGACCTAGTTCATATTAGTGGGGGGGGGGGGGGATATTACGTACAAAATTATAAGATATTATCAGGACAATATGAATAGATTCATACCTATGAGATGCTATCTTACACAAGCACGCAAAATCAAGTTTAAAATACTGAAATTAAGAATGTTTGTCCATTAAATGTTATTTAAAAGGAAGGAAAAGAAAGGCCCTAAATTACAGAAAAGGTTTCTGTAATGAATGACCTATAAACCCTTGAGATATACCAAATATTATGAACATCTAGCAGAAAACAAAACAAAACCCATAGCAAAATGTGTAGAAAATACAAAGAGGAATTTAAAGAGAAATACAATGCCCAATGGTCAATAACCATCTAAAATTGTTTTACTTCAAAAATTAACCTAAAAGGAATGAAAATAAGTAATTCCTATGTAATGAGCAAACAAATATATTTGTATAGTAAAATACATTGAAAGAAGTCAATAGCAAAAAAATCACAATAGAGAGCAAGAGAATCAATTTATGAAATCCCATCATCTTATATAATCGTCAAAACCAAGTAAAATTACAGTGGTACACAGCTTCCCAAAGTTTAGAACTTTTCATTCATAGTTGTAGAATTGCAATTGAGCCCAGGTAAATGCAAGCACTGTGCTGGGCACCGCGGGTCAACATGAATCAAGCATGTTGCCCTTCTCGTTTCTGCTTGTGGTGTTGCTCTCATTTATCACTTGCCCAGCATTTGGGCGATCTGACACTTAACCAGTGAGAATGCCCTGTGTAAATGTGGCTCCTAAGCATTTGGTAAGATGAAAATTAAAACAGTAAATTATCTTCTCTCCTTCCCAACTCTCCGGATCCTCCACACAGCCCACTAGTGTTAATCCCACCATCAGTCTCCACACGAGCTAACAGCAAACCCCTTCGCCAGGACTCACGAGTGCTCGTCTACCTGCTCCCCTAGTCTGCTGTGCCCTGTCACAGCTCTCAAATACAGCCGGGAGCACTAAAATGAAGGACCCTTGGAGACCATCTACTTGGAGCCGCTAGTGAAGACACCATTTCTCTAATTCTCCAAACCCGGTGCTGTACGCTGTATCTAAATCTGGCCACCTGTGCTGTCTCCTCAGGTAAGCACTGGTCACTGTCCACAGCATCCTCAGTTCCTCAGTGTACGGGAACAGTGGACAACGCATTTTTCAACATTTATTGACTTGTTTCTTCAAAATAGACTTGGTAAAAGAACTTTTGTTCATCATTTGTAGAGAATTTATAGCAAAGAATGGAAGGGTTTTTTTGTTTTGTTTTGGTTTTTGAAGACAGGGTTTTGCTGTAGCTTTGGAGCCTGTCCTGGAACTAGCTCTTGTAGACCATGTTGGCCTCGAACTCACAGAGATCCACCTGCCTCTGTCTCCTGTGTGATTAAAGGCCTGCGCCACCACCACCCTGTGGAAGTTTTTTAAGCTTACAGTTTACAAAGCTTACCTTAGCAGTTAAAATTCAGTATATATTTCAAACAATGCTAATAGCTACATAAAGAATGCATACTCCCTATCCCAAGCAATGCTAACAATTTACACTTAAAATATCTGAATTATACCCCATCTCAAAGGTATGCAGCAAGGCTCTGGTGAGGATTCTGTAAGAAGCGTATAGGTCGCCACTACCATCTAACTAAGCGATCAGATTTTCTTTAAAGTTTTATTACTTCTCATTTCCTGTACAATGTACTTCTACTCATCTGACCTGTATTTTATGCCAGCAGTCGCAAGGCTACTTATCTTGTTTCCAGCCACAGGATTACAGGAATGTCCTGGGCTTGCCACTCAGCTTTCATGCAGAATTTATGTTACTCTTAGCTCATAGCCTTTCAAGACTCAGCGCATACCTTGGTAACTGTCTGTAACCATAGCACCACAAAGGCTGAAGGAGAAGGACTGCCACCAGTCCAAAGCTAGCCAGGATTGCAAGTCAACCCAGGCAACAGAGTAAGACCCTGCCTCAAAAAACAAATCAAATTCTTATTTTTCCTTAATTGTTCCAATCCCGGGAAACAATTCTTCCCTGAACTCTTAAGGTACATCTCATGCACATCATTTGTATGGTAGAAACCTTGCATAATTCTTGTTTCCTTTCTTTCTCAGATAGATAGTATGTACTGAGAGGATTCCTGTTTCAGTTAACTCCTCAAAAAGTCTACACTCAATGACATTTAGTAAAGATGACAAGGGTCGCACGCCTATGCAGATGAACTTAAAGTTGTTTCTGTTTGTTTGTTTAAAAAGCAATAGTACAAGCGTGAGTTAAGCTGAAAGAAGCAAACCCCCAGGCATGGACAAGCTAAACTCACAGCCTGACTGAGAAGACAAGGGAGGGCTTAGAAGTCGAGAAGCAATGAATATTTTTGTCCTAATTTCAGATAGTAACTAAGGCTACTTTGTGATGAATATTCAAAATCTGTTTTAAAAATAGAATAATATAGTCATGGATCCTGAAATTATTAAGACATCAATCTTCTGTTATAAAAATTAGTGAGACATTCATAGTAATTACACCAACGACTACCTGGCTAGTCTTGCAATCACCAGTAAAGCAATTACTGAACTGTGAAAACCGTATCATGGGATACCTTCAGATAGCGCTCGATGTTGTTCATCAAAATATCGATTTCTTCCTTGGACCACATTCCCTGCTTCCATTTATGTCCTTTAAAAGAAATATTAGTGTAATACAAATAAAAGAACTATTACACAAAATATTACCCTCTGAGAGGAATAAAACACAACAATTTCTCTTGTGATAAAACTGCCACTGAGAACAGAACTGGTTTAACCGAGTACTCTATTCATCTGAAATGTCCGAGTGCAGCAACTACTGTAGCCTTACTGAATAAAGATCATGAAAACGATTTTTAAAGCACTACTTCTCTTGGGGAAGTGTAACACTGCTGAGATAAAAGGAGAGTCAAATTGTACTCAAAAGGTTTTGAAAAAGCTTCTTTCATAAAAAATTAATTTTATAGGCCAAAAGATTCTAGAGCTAAACATAGGAGTATTCACTACGCTGTGGCTGAGCGTATTCCCTCATCTGTGTCTGCCCACTAGAGCAGCACAGCGCACCCCGCAGTTCTGTTCGGATAGCAGCTTCCCCAGATGTGCTGGTGAGCAGCGTAGCAAAGTAAATGTTCTCATGTTTAAGCTTCTAAGAGACTCAAAAGACAAGAAAAGTTCACTCTCTCCTCTTATAGTAATAACTGAATTGTCTCTTAAATGCCACCACAGTGTATCTGTTCAAAAATAGCATGTAAGACTGAATCTGCATCAGAAATACAAAGGTAACAGTTGTTATAAAATAAATGCCATTATGAAATCATTCATGGTGAAATTTAAATCCAATAGAAAGTTCAATTACATTACTGGGTTCCACCAAAGACGTCTCAGTTCAGAATCTTGATGACAGCAAGCCTTTCTAGTCCCAAGGCTTCTGATATTAGGATCCGACATTCAGCTGTCTTACCTTTGTTAGTGAGAGAATCCTTATCTTCTTTAGTTGTAAACCACGCTTGGCTAACTGCTGAAACTTCCTCAGTGCCCAATGGAGATATTTCATCTAGTTGATCGTTCTGTAAAATCTTTAAAAAGAAAAGAAAAAAAAAGGGGAGTGGGGGTTGAAGCTTGATTAACGCCCAAGTGGATTTACATTTGTTGAGGCTAGGAATTATAAAATTCTAACATAATAATTCAATTTCATGTGTACACTGGCTTCAGGTTTTCATAAATTAGGTCAGTACAATCATTTGAGGACGCTGGGTGTTGTGGCATATCTAGAATCCTGGCATTTGGGAGGCTGAAGCAGATACTATCAAGAACAGTCACAGATTCCTGAAAAAATATGAAGAGAAGACCCTATCAGTTAGTTAGGATAACTACAAAATAATGCTTCTGAGAGAAATATTAAAAGGTATTGCTGTGCTGGAGAGATGGCTCAGAGGTTAAGAGCATGGGTTGCTCTTCCAGAGGTCCTGAGTTCAATTCCCAGCACCGGCATGGTGGCTCACAACCATTCCTAATGAGATCTGGCGCCCTCTGATGGCCTTCAGGCAGAGTACTGAGAACACTGTATACATAATAAAATCCTGTCACGAAAAACCAAAATAGAAAAAAAAAAAAGGTACTATCAAGAACAGTCACAGATTTCTGAAAAAATATGAAGAGAAGATCCTATTAGTTATTTAGGATAAAAGATAGGTTTACAAAAAATTCAACCAGAGAAAGTATAAATCAGGAGAGATCGATAACAATCTCTTAATGATTTTCAAAAATTGTTAGGAGATATTAACTGGCTACAACCCCCAACTGGATCAACAACTCAAGAACTAAGTAACTTTTTTAAAGCCTGACAAGGTGAAAAGAACTTAAATAGTCCAAGAAAATTATCAATCGCGGCTGGGAGAGAATTGGGTTTGTTAGAAATGAAAGCACAGGATGCACATGTGGATCGTTTGGATCCAGAGCTGTATTGTATTCTGGTTCTGTTTACCATCTACACACTCTTCCACTGGAATTCTTATGCAGAAAGAAGAAAATATTTTAGAATGGACAGTTTTACCACACAGAGTAAAAAATTAAAGAGCTATGTAGAAAAGGTTTCTGAATTGATTCTAAAAGGAAAACTGAGATTTGATAAATTGTGGTGCCTTTTACTAATGTTGAAATTGCCCCACTATGGGCAGAAAATGAACATTTTCTTGCAGTATTTTTTTTTTCAGGGAGAGATTAGCAACAAATATCACAAAAGCAAGAGATTTCATTTTATAGAAAGAACTAATTAGGATTCTCCCTCATATAATAAAAGAAATACCAACTTCTGGAGCCCCTACATTCTATATTGATGCAAATAAATTAGGAAAAACAGGATCCAAGACAGAAAAGTTAAGTAAAGTGGCTCAAACCCTTATAATTCAGTTTAAAAGTCAGAATTATATAGGATTCTGATGGTATTATTAGATTTTTTCCAGAACCTCTTAATATAGTTACTGACTCTCAATGTGCTGAAGTTTTACATATTAAAACTGTTGAACTTATTCCAGATGCTTCAGAATTAACTTTTTTATTCAACTATAACAAAGTAATCAGAAACAGAAATCATTCCTTGTACATAACACATGCTAGATTCCATAGCGGTCTATCAGGCTCTGAAGCACAGATAATGATGAAATTAACCAGTTATTTGTAGGAAATGTACTAGACAGCTCAGAACTTCATAAGAAACACCATGTTAACAGCAAAAGTTTGAAGAAAGATTTTTCTATCACTTGGCAACAAGCTAAGGAAATTATAGTATAGTGCCCTACTTGCTCTGTGCATAACAAAACTCTATTACCTATAGGAAGTAACTCAAAAAGTACTTCAAGAATTGATATTTCGGGCTGGAGAGATGGCTCAGTGGTTAAGAGCACTGAATGCTCTTCCAAAGGTCCTGAGTTCAACCCCCAGCAACCATGGGGTGGCTCACAACCACCTATAATGAGATCTGGTGCCCTCTTCTGGCCTACAGGTAGGATACTGCATAAACAAACATCTTAGAAAAAAAAAGAATTGGTATTTGGCAAATGGATATGTTTCATTTTACAAAGTTTTGAAAACTAAAATATGTGTACTGTACCATAGCTACATATTTAGGATTTCAATGGGCAACCACTGATTCTATAAAGACACATTTATTAGAAGTCATGGCCATTATGGCTACATGTACATTATGGTACAAATTAAGACTGGCGATGCTGTAGCATGTCTCTAGTAAAATGAAAGTTTTCGTGTATTGCAACATAAAGCATATTACAAGTATACCACACACTCCTATGGGATAAGCAGTTGTAGAAAGATCAAATTGTACTTTAAAAGATACGCTTAATAAACAGAAAGCAGTAATAAAGATTCCCAGAGATAGATTACATGGTACTTGTTGGGGAAAGATTTTGCTTTTGTTTCCACAGAATCAGAAATGCTATGGATACTACCAAGATTGATAGAGATTAGATTCATACAGGAGAGACCTCATGGTGAGGAGAGGTGACAGTTCATCAAAAGACTTAGTCATATTTAATCCAAAAACTACCTTATAAGACTAACAAATACCTTTCATCTGATCAGATAGGAAAAAAAAATTCCAACAGGCTAAAATTTCAGACATCTTCTCAAATATTTGTTTCTGCTGTTACCTATAGACATGTAAAGCAAATGATCTCTCTCTCTCTCTCTCTCCATCCATCCATCCATCTACCTATCCATCCATCCATCCATCTATCAAATAAACTTTTTGTTGTGATATTAATGGTCATATAGCATAACTAATTTTAGAGCTAGGCTTCATCTAGCTTCCTGAAAGTGATTTTAAACTTGAGTCTAAAGCAAATAATTAGAAACTAAGCTTGTGTATCCCAGAAGTATTTAATAAATTGGGGTCCTTTAACCTCTCCGAGATCTGGTGCATATGACATTTAAAATGTTAAGTTTCCTGTAGTGAACTGTGACCATTTCTAACAGCAGCTAATGAAGTCTCCAGAAGAATGATGGGGCCCCACAATGATGATTCTACCTGCACTGTGGTAAAGCCACTAGGCCGACAAACAACATTCAAAGATCAGCTTTGGACTGCAAACTGCTCAGGACAATTCAAGGTGACTGACAGTCCAGCCTAAGAGACTGCTCAGTCAGGTGTTCAGATGGGCCCTGCATTATCGATAACAGCAAGACGGACAACAGCTAGTTCTCTCAGGACTTGACCATTATCTTAGTTTGCCCAGATATCAGGAAGTAATTTTAGGAACACAATACCCACATTCCCAATAGGTAGGGTGGGTAGCTTTTGGTCAGTTGTTGAGTTAGGGATGTTTGTCATTACAGGGGAGTTTATTTTAAGTTGCCATTGGTCATAAACAAGGAAAAACTAAACAAAGGAGATCAGATTTAAGGATCTGGTTCTGAAAAGAAAAAAGGGGAACATAGATTTGATAGGATAAAAGGGTATATTATTAAATTTTCTTTTAAATTAAAAAAAGCAAATACTAGTCTCAAACATTTATATTGGTATATTTTTATATGTTGATTTTATACTGTATGCGTGTTTCTGCTCTTGTTTAAGGCATTGTGCCTATGCAGCTCACTTAGCAATCTGATGTAAATTTCTAGTCCTTGAAAGTTATTATTAAAAGCAACACAGGATAATTAAGAAATACAGATTAGTAGTTAGTCATCAAGCAATCAAATTCATAACCATGTTAAAAAGGTTTTCAAGATCAAATAGAGATATATTCTAGATAGAGAGATGGTCTTCAAATACTTCAGAGATCTACAGAATATCCATTTCAGTTATTTTCATAACATAAGGCCTATTCTTGATAGTGAAACACATTTGCTCCTGGCAGCACCAATTTACTTCAAAAAAGGATTGGGCATCAAAGAACCTCCACTGGAGTTTGCTTTCTTTGCTGGCAAAGTAAGTCACTTTTCAAAGAAACTGTCTCAATTGCTGACAAGCATGCTATCCATATTGGACAAGTAGAACACAGTAGGTGACTGCTAAACTTTGTCAAGACAAGACAAGACAGTCCTTCACAATTTCCTGCTTCACAAAAGTCTGTCAGATATTCTAGGCTTATAGGCTGAAGACTGATGCCCCAATGTTGCAGAGAAATCTTGGGGTAACTGTTCAGGCAACCAGTTGTCTCTATTATTTCTATAGTTTTGGAAGCTGTTTGCTCTGCAGTTCCTGTTTACTTGGGTAATAATGTATACATTCCGGGTTTCTGATGAGGTTGAAGACATTAAGTTTTCCATAGTTACTATAGAAAGTAAGTTAGGTACAAAACTTTGGACACACCAAGAGAGAATCGATAATGTATTTTCTGAGTTTGCCAAATACAAATGGACTGGACATTGTGAATGTAATTCTTGCTTGAATATTGTTCTTATTGTATACAGTTTTACTTTTTTTAAAGTTAATACCTTTTCTTTTAATGTAGACAATACCTTATTACATATAGTTTTATTATGTTAGAGTTAAAAATCTTACCTTTTTATTTAGACAAAAAGGGGGAATTGTGCAAGAGAACTTTCTACTCTGTCTCCTGAAACTGTCAATAAATTAAATCCTAATTCAGAGGACAGAGTTCATGCTCAGGTAACCAGAATTTGCCAGAGTGGGTTTTTTTTGTTTTTTTGTTTTTGTTTCTGACTCAGGCAGAAAAGGGACACAGGGAAGAATGAGGAGGGGCTTAGGAGTTTCGTGGACCTTTCTGGATTTTGGAAAAGCAGAGAAAGGTCAACTGGGCTTTTTTCTGTTGCTTTTGGGTTTAACAGATTCATACTCTACTATCTGACTCCTGGATTTTTATTAATAATAGAATAATTTCTATAACTGTCACACTGAATCCCATTTTTCTTTGAAATAGATAAGCTGTCAAGTGAAAGAGCAGAACACAATGAGAACAGCCATGTCTCTATGGCTACCCCTTTTTAGGGGCCTACTTGTGGACAAGATGTAAATCTAGCTAGGAATCACCGGACGGCTAGTGAGAAGGCTCTGGAGGTGAAGACTGCCTGACATCAGGTGACCTGAATTAAATTCCCAGAATGCATATTGTGGAAGGAGAGAATACGCTTCCTCTGACTTTCACAGTATGTTGTAGCATGTACATGTGCACACGGGCACACACATACAAATACACACACACGCACACATGTGAGAAATCACTGGAACAAGTATAACAAGTCTTAACCATTTCAACTTGTGTCATACATTTAAGACTTTTTAAAACGACTAAATGAAATGGTTATAAACTGAGAACTGAGACAAACTAGATGTCACCTAAGGCAATTACAATTCTATAGGATCTGACATACATATTATATAGTAATGAAATACCTATGAAAAGACACATATAACTGCCCAGTTTTAACAACTGTCCATGCCTGTAATCCCAGCATGTGAGAGACTGAGGGAAGAGAGCTCCCCCTACTAGTGTGAAGTTAGCCTAAGCTATGGAATGAGACCCCACCTGAGAAAAGAACACAAAACAAAACTCGTATAGCTAATCATGTCCCGCATTGAAGCCAGTTTAAAGATGTACTATACCTGAATCTGTGTCACAGTTCCCTCAGAAAGTTCGTCATCTGCCACCTCTGTGGTTGCTGTCATGGTCACCTCAAAGCTCTGCTCATTTTCTGAAACTTCAAGAAAATAATGATTCATCTCTGCAATAATAATCGTAGAAACTAATTATCCTAACGAAATCCATGGGGAGAATGTGATAGTTTGCCAGTGGCCTGAGGCACCATAAGATTCTCTTGGTTTTTGTGGGTGGATGTAGTCAACTATGATGAAGGCACTACGGTCCCTTCTAAGCAAGATGCAGCCAGAGTGGTTATGGAGGGAAAGCACCTGCTAATTTCTAAAGGCCACACGGAAACACATCTACTCCTATAGGCCAGCATGTACTTGGTGGTGTGGCAGAGTGCTCACCGATGACAGAGATGTGGAGATCAGTGGACCCTGGTGAGCACAAGGAAAAGAACGCCCATCAGTGTATACAAACTACACACGGTTACCTTCACAAAACTGCAGGGGGTGATCTGCTTGCTTCCTGGGATGGTGGGTAGGACCAGCTGGCTGCTTTTGTGCCTCAGTGTCTCAGGACAGGCAGCTTAGCTACTCTTTAGAGCCAAAGGCTGAGGGGACCAATGGCTAAACTTTGTGACTTTACTGTAGCTCTTACTATTATTCTTTTAAAGAGAAACCTTCCTAAATTGAGTTTATCAACTAAATTGAGTTTATCAACGATTCTTACAAATATGGAGAAGATATACTCAGAGACCAGCTTATTAAGTTCAGTCTCCTATTAGACTCCAAATTATGTTCCATATGAGAGGAGCAAATTGAGTATCAGATGCACGATAGTGTCAACATCTCCATGTTTATTAGGTGATGAACAAGGATGTAATATCACAAAAAATGGAACACAGTGCCAAGTACAGAGTGAACCTATGATTATGAACAAAGTATTTTAAGTAATGAACTAACTAGTCATAATTTAGCACCAAAGAACTGTTCAAAAACTCTGCCTTATAAAATATCCACAAAGGATTATATCTGTGTAGATAGACCAAGTAAGCTTTAAAATCCAGTGACAGACACAGTAGGAGTTATTTAAAAACACGAATCGACAAGAAGAAACTTCATTTAGTTCCACATTTTAGGCACGAATATGTTATACTTGAAAACTAATACTAGCCTTAACAGTTTTTTTAATCCATAGTAAACTGAAATAAAATTATTTCTTTTCTGTTCAATTTAAGAAACAATTAGCTCTGTGCATACAACTTGCTAAGATATAATTTTCCATGCTAAAACTTAGTCTTAATTTAAATCTAGGTAAAGATATTGTTTCATTTGATGCTGATGTGTAAAATCAGAAATCTCAAAAACAGCAATTTGTGTTAAAAGTGGTGTTAACCATTATGCGGCTCATCTCGGCTACCGCAGATGAAGGCATCGCTCTGGCTTTACAGGGACAGGCAAATCAGAAACACGATCTAGTGCTGTTGCTGGTATGCTCTGCCAATGGCACTCCGTCTGGGATCTAGCCCACCTTAACTATACTATACTCTAACCATACTAAACCCACATTAGGATTAAGTAAATGAGGTACCTACCAAATTTCCATGCAGATCGGCAAGAGGGCTAAAGCATGGGCTAGAGGAAGCAGACTACCTGCACACGTCTGAACGTGCTTTCTCTGAGCCTCACTTTCTTCATTCCATGTATGAGTGAATGGTAACAGAATCTACTGCACAGCATGATGGGCTGGGGGGATGCAGTTTAAAAACCTTATACTCGTGAACAAAGCAGGAAAAACACATATTCATATCCGTTTAAAAAATGAAGAGACCCTCAGTATAGCTAAGACAGAAGAATCAGTCAAATACTCCTTTAAAAGGCTCATTATAAAGCCTACAGCAGCAGGCTGAGAGTAAAGAAGTGCTGAAAAGATTGGACAATATGTAAAAGCATTTACTTAATGGTTGGCAGAGAATGAACACTCTAAGCATTGTTTAAAAACAGATTTTTTTTGACTAAGTAGCGTTCAAGTCTCCCTAGAGATGCCACCTGACCGGTGCACGTTAGAACCCAGTCCGGAAGGTGCCCGTTACTAGCAGACTTACGCGGGAGCGCGACAACCGAGATGCAGGGCGTGGAGCCGGCAACGCTCTGCTCATCCTCCGGGGACAGACACAGTCTCTTCTGCGGAGGTTCGGCACTGTCTTCTGAGTCTATTTCATCAGCGTCTAGAACAAGGGGAAAAGAAGTCAGACAAAATGCTCAGAAACCTCAAGTAGACACAATCTGTACTTTGGATAGAAATCTCTGCAGCAATTTTCTTATCTACTAAAATCATCCTTCCACCCACCTGCTCACTAAAATTCACTCAGCTACACAAGGACTCAAAGATTGTCGCGTTCTCCTTGCTTATAGTAGTAGTACCCAGTCCCTGTTCTTGTGATGGACAAAGTGCCACCTTCTAACTTGGTTTCCCAAAATTTAACACACAAAGAGAAGGACTGGTTATTGGGCTCATTCAAATATTTACTAAATGTCTAACACCTAAGTGCCTGGAGCAGGAAAATGAAGGATACCCTATGCAAGAAGGATACTTCATAAAGGAAGGCTATGCCGTGAAGGAAGGATGCCCCATAAAGGAAGGAAATTCACTCTATGAAGGAAGGATACTAACCCTATGAAGGAAGGATACTCACTCTATGAAGGAAGGATACTCACTCTATGAAGGAAGGAAACTCACTCTATGAAGGAAGGATACTAACCCTA